CAGTTCCCCTTTTAGTATTTATGTCGACCTCAGAGCGTCTTGACAATGCTGTCCAAGCCCAGATGATGGTCCTAGATGCAGCAGGATCTTTGTGGGATGGGAGCGGCCCCGCCCCACTGTTACTTAAAGCTGTTACTCAAAAGCACACACCTGCCTCCGTGTGGCCGAGCACGGAACCACCTGTCTTCAGCCTCCCTGGTGTGTGTGCAACAGGGGCTCAATAAAGACGCACAGGGAGGCTGGCGGTGGTGGCACCCGCTTTTAATCCCAGCACTCGGGAGGCAGAGGCAGGCTAGCCTGATCTACAGAGTTCCAGGACAGGCTCCCGAGCTATAGAGAAACCTTGCCTGGAAAAACAAAAAAAGACACACAGGTCTCAGATGCATGCATTTATTATTGTGAGACACGTGTCTCTGGGGTCCCCTCAGATGGTCCAGTTACCATGCCTGACGTTTTCGATCCAGTCTATGTAGGTCGACACGCGGGTAAAGACGCCTGGCTTCTTGCGGTTTCCACAGACTCGCGAGCCCCACGCAACAACACCCTCGATCTTGTTCCCGCACACCAGGGGACCACCAGAGTCGCCCTATGGGGCGGGGCCACGAGATTCATGCCCACCCAATAGCCAAGCCACTCTGACTTTTAAGCAGCTCCCCGGACTCCTGAAGGCAGCTCTTCCCGCAAGCCACGGCCAGCCTCTTCAGACCCTTGGGTTCCACCCGCCCACACCACATGACTCAAGCCGGTGCCTCTCACCCTGCAGCTGTCCCTGCGGTTGCTCTCTGCACACATCATGTTCTGGGTGATGACTCCATCGTGATGCACGCGCAGATTGCAGGTGTTCCGGTCCATGATTGGCACTGTAAGCTTCTGCAGGACGTCGGGCCTGCGACCCGCATGGCTGACCACGCCCCAGCCAGCTACATCGCAGAGCGTTCCAGGGGCCACGTCCCGGTCCTCGCTTTGCAAGGGCAGGGGGCTCACGTAGGGTCCCAGCGACACATTCTGGGACAGCTAAGGATGGGAGGAGGGTAATATCCTTGTAGGGGGCGGGGCTGGGAAATAGACTGAGGTGGTGGTGCAGAAGAAAGGGTCGAGGGTAGGAAGGACCCAGCCTCCTCACCTGCAAGAGGAGAAGGTCATCCTCAATGCGGTCAGGCCTGCTGCCCGGGTGACGCACTACACTTTGCACGTGGTACAGCTGCTTGGAGGGTTCAGGCTTAGACAGGGAGTGGGCACCCAGGAGCACTTGCACAACCTCATCACTGGTCCTGGGAACAGGACCAGGGCCCACCTCAAATACACGTCCCACCCTCCCGAGGCTCCACTCCCACCCCCCCAGTCCCTGCCACTCACACTCCGTCCATGCAGTGTGCCGCGCTCAGCACCCACTGCTCATCCACCAGGGTACCACCACACACGTGTGTGCCGTTCACTTGCACCGAAGCCATGTTGGGCCAAGTATGGGCCTTAGCCTCCTGGCCACCCAAGATCCGACCTCGGGGCTGCGCTGCAGAGGACGGTGGGTGCACTGTAAGGATTAAGGTGGTCTGAGAGACCTCAGACACATACACATGTGCGCATTCGAGCTTGACCCAGACCCAGAACCCCATCACTGTAAAATACAGTTCCGAGGGGCTGCAAACTCAGAAGCCTGTGGGGTGGTGCACACCCCTCAAGACCGCAGTGAATCTGAAGCAGTAGGAAGACAATTTGCAAGGGAGTCATTTCCTTTCTTCTACTCTATCCGTCCAGGGGATAAAACTCCAGTCTTCAGGCTGAGACTTCTCATTGGCCCTAAGGTGAATTCTAGTTCTTTAATTCTATAAAGTCTACAAGTTTCAGATTCTTGCTGTTGATAAAAGTCCAGGAGGCTCAGATTGTAGATTCTCAAGTGTGGAGGTGTTTGACTGCAGGGGACCCCTGGTGCACACACACCACACCACACCCCCACCACTGTATCCAGCTGTTCCTCCCTGGTCCACTCACCAAATACAGCCGTTCCCAGGACCACTAGAGCCACGAGACACACAGGGCTGTGCATTTTGACGCCAATAAGTGCAGACTCTGACCCAGATGGGTCCTAGGGGACTATTTTATAGGGCAGGTGCCTCCCGCCCTCTGCCTGCCTCCTGGGCAGAGACCCAACTAGGGAACTGGGAATCTGCCCTTTCAGATTTGAGTGTATCAGCCCTTGTGGGATGAATTAGGTAAATCCGCCAGGTGAACGGGAACCCTCCTCTCCCTCCTGCTTGGGACCTTGGCCAGTCAGTGCCCACTCTGAAGGGGGCACCACTTGGCAGGGGTGGGAGGCTGGACCACCCAGCACCCTGGCCCAGTAAGTGTCCTTCCAGCATGGTGTCTGTCGCAATCGCCACAGCAGGAGGCCAGTTGGCAAACATCTCCCATCATTTTACCCTCCCACACTTCCTCCTCCAACTTGGAGAGAAGGTTGTTTGCCTGTGGCTGTGGTGATCTGACACCTCAGCAGAGTGTGGCTGAAGAAGATGAAAAGGAAAGTCCTGTGAATTTTGCCTCCAACTATGGCTTGATCCTAGGCAGTCTCCACCCTCACCAGGCTGTTTGATATTGTAGTTCAGGGACCCTTACTGTAAATATGGCCCTCATGTTAATCAACATCTTGTTTGACTGAGCCTAGGTCAGAGGCTCCCCCCCAAGCTAATCCATAGGATGGGTTCTAGAGGAAGGGATTGGGACAAGGAGAGTAGGGAGCAGCATGGGGCTCGACACACACATTCCCTCTTGGGAGCATTAGGTTCTGTCTTTGGGGTGAACTAATGTTGCAGATGGGATGTCAGAGCACCTTATTAAAATCAGAAGCTGTCTGACAAATGGGATTTACATAAGACCGAACTAGACTCCCTTAATATAGGTGGCAATGGTGTGACCAGGACAATATATGAGGCCACTGGCAGTGTGTCCTGTAGGGAGCCGTCCCGGCATTCTCCATTACAAGATGGCGCCTGCATACGGCTGGCGTTGAGAGTAAACAAGTCAGTGCGCAGGTGCAGGGTGATTTTCCCTCCCTTGGCCTCTGCCTCTCCCGTGGCGTCATATGGGCCGATGGGCTGCAGCCAATCAGGAGGTGACACGTCCGAGGCGAAGGTTGTAAACCTATATAAGGGTTGGGTTTTGGATGTTTGGGGTCTCCGCTCTGTAAGCTTATGCTCTCCCTCTCAAGATGCATTAAAGCTTTACTGCAGAAGGATCCTGAGTGTGCTGCGTCATTCTTGCTGGCGAGACAGTAGCGCGGGACATTCTCCAGTGTCCAAGATCTAACTCTAATGCACAAACTGACCCATTCTGTATGGAGAAATACCTTGCTCAGCTTAGACACAGTGGTATGGGGGTGGGGAGGTGCCTTGGGCCTTGGTCCTGCCTCAACAAGATGATGGGGCAGACTAGACTTTCTAGGGGAGCAGGTGAGAGGTGGAGTAGGGAGAAGTGGGGGAAGAGAGGAGAAGAGAGGAAGGACTGGGATTGGAGTGTAAAAAAAAAAAACTTTAAAAAGACAAAAATAAATAAATACAATCAGAAGCCACCTGGATGTCTAGGGTTTCAACTCCAGCATTCAGGAGGCAGAATCAAGGGGATATCTGAGTTTGAGGCCAGCCTGGGCTATAGAGTGAGTCCCTATCTCGAAAACAAAACATAACAAGACAAAATCAGAAGCCTTTTAGGACAGGATCCAGATAGTGCAAAAAGGAACCTAAGAAATTGAAAAAAAAAAAATGGCAACCACCCAGGGTCAGGCAGCCATAGGACACTTCAGCAAACAACCCTGAAGAACTTCCACAGACTTGGAACTCTGTCCTGGCAGGGGTGGGGTGTGGCTGGAGGAGGGTCAGTGGGTAGAGGAGGCCATTTCGGGGTCCCTGGGCAGAGCTATGGTGTCTATTGCCCAGATCTAATGAGAAAGTGGGCTGTTTTTAATTTTTATTATCTGTGCTTCATTTATTTCATTGTATTTGTGTGCCATGTTGTGGCTTGCTGGGTGGAGTCCGTTTTCTCCTTCCACCAGGTAATTCCAGGGATTGAACTCAGGCCATTGGGCTTTGTGGCCAGCACCTTCATCCACCACACCATCTCAGCAGTCCTAGATTATTTACATATTAGATTTACTTTTTATTATTCTTAGTTATGTGTATGGGGGTGCATGTGCATGCTTGGTGCCCACAGAGTCTAGAGAGGGTGACCAGTCCCCTGAAACAGGAGCTATAGGTAGTTGTGAGCCACCACGTGGAAACCCAGGTCTCCTTCATGAGCAGCAGATGCTCGTAACTGCTGAACTGCTTCTCTAGCCCCTCTGTTTTCTAAGATAGGGCCTCACTCTGTCGCCTAGGCTGTCCTCAAATCCATGACAATCTTCTGCCTCAGCCTCCCAGTGCTGAGACCTAACTGAATATGGGTTTTAGGGAACAGAAGCCAAAAAAGGGCCATCTCACTGACATCTTTTGTTTTGTTTTGTTTTGAGATAGGGTTTCTCTGTGACTTTGGAGCCTGCCCTGGAACTTGCACTGTAGACCAGGCTGGTCTCAAACTCAAAGAGATCTGCCTGCCTCTGCCTCCCCAGTGCTGGGATTAAGATTCATGTATTATGTACACAGTGTTCTGTCTGCATGTATGCCTGCATGACAGAAGAGGGCACCAGATCTCATTATGGATGGTTGTGAACCACCATGTGATTGCTGGAAATTGAACTCTGGAAGAGCAGCCAGTGCTCTTAACCGCTGAGCCATCTCTCCAGCCCTCTCACTGACATCTTTTTGTACAACATGGGGAAGATGCCTCCTGCTGTGACTTTGACCCAGCTTGGTAGCCAAGTCCCCAGGAGGTGCCCCTTACACAAGGCAGTGGCTTTGCTCTACACTCTGCTGCAGGGACACCAGACACAGACACAGTGAACAAAGCAAAGGTTACTTTTATTGAGGGCTGTCATGAGCAGTTGACGTTGACGGTAGGGGGAGGCCAGGCAGGTCCTAGTCGGTGCTGTTCTCAGGGTCTCTGGGATGGGTATCGGGGTGGTTGTCATGCCTTCGGATAATGGAATTGATCCAGTTTGCGAACTCAGCCACAGGCGCAAAGGCATCTGGGTACAATCCAGACCCACAGCCTCCACGGATGAAGGAGTCGATGCCTTGGACAAGCCTGTTACAGACCAAGGGTCCTCCAGAATCCCCCTGAGGAAGTGTCAAGGTCAGAGGCTGGCCCTCTAGGCACTCCCTTACTCATGTTCCAGGACTGGGAAGTCCTCCCTTGGGTCTGACCACAATCCCTTCTACTGCAAAAAGGTACTTACAAAGCAGATGCCTGCTCTCCGTCGTGGCACCAGCGTGCATACATTTAGACGGCGGCGGCAGAAATTTGTCACCACAGTCACATTGAGCTCTTGGAGCACATTGGGCGTCGGTCGGTTCGTGCCCAGCCTGCCCCAGCCCATGGCTAGGCATCGAGTTCCCTTCACCACACCACGGCCCTGGGCAGGCAGCTGGGCCACCTGCACATTGGTGTTAATGGTGGCTGAGCCATTGAGCTGCGGTGAGGGACAGTGGGTGAGAGAGACTTAGAGCATGAAGGAGTCACAAGGCACATTGGACACTGACTTAGTACCCTGCCACCAAGTGGTAGGAAAGGATAGGAACTGGAGGAAGAAATTAATATTTTCCCCCAGGTACCCCAGAGCCACAGGGTCAGTGAGCAGAGAGGCACAAATAACAGGAGTTTGTTAGTTGAACACTGCCCGGAGCTTTCCATATATTAGCTTTTATGAACCATCACCATCTGGCCAACAGAACCGTTACTCTCACTATGTTCAGTGGGAAATAGGCTCAGAGGCGATAATTGAAGTTGCCTCAGTGTGTCCTTGTTCCCCCAAGAGCCTTCTGCACCGCACCTTCCTCTAGCCTGAACTTCAGGACCTTTGCACCTGAGGCTCAGGCTCTCAGACTCCCAAGCCCACCTGGATGATCACAATGTCATTCACCAGACGAGTGGGGTCAAAGCCATTCTCGAAGATCCGCTGCACAGAGAAGGTCTGTGTAGTGGGCTCCTGTTGCTGCAGGTTGTGGGCCCCCAGCACTACCTGTACTGACCGGAAGTTTCTATGGACAGCAGAGAGGGGAGGAGCTTGAGTGGGAGTCCACACCTGACGTCCCCAGTCTGGCCCACCTGGACACTGAGGACGGGAGGGATGGAGAGGGGACTCACAGGCCATTCACACAGTGGGCTGCCGACATGACGAAGTTCCTGGCGATGAGTGTGGCACCACAGAAGTGACCTCCACGCTGCTGCAGGGACACCATGAAGGGCCAAGCATGTGCCTGGGCTGGCCGGCCACCCACAATCTCTGAGGCCAGCACTGGGCCTAGGGACACACAGGAAGGAAGAGTGAGTCCCAGCCACCGAGCTGTTTGAACCCTCCATGAGAGCTCACAAGGTTGCTGAGGGAAACTGAGGCAGAGAGGATAAAGGACCTGCCCAGGGTGCTCCTGAACTTAAGTCCAAGCACCTCCCTCCTTTCTTCACAGTGGCCTGGCCACTATAAACCCATGACTTTTTCCAAAGTCCTGGGGGAAGTGGGGAAAGACAATGCAGATGGACAACCGGTCAGTGTGTCCATCCATCCTCACTCACCACCCAGGAGCAAGGCCAGCAGCATGGGAGCCAGAATGGGGCTGGATGATTGGCTGGGGATCATGGTGGTGCTGTGCTCTGGTGGCTCTCCACAACCCTACCTAACAGCCACACTTATAGCTGCAGCCAGAGGCCGTTGTATTGCCCCATGCTGGCCGCAGCCCCACTTCCTCCTGGGGGACAGGACGATGTGGGTGGCATAGAGAAATATGTGCCCCCAGGGTCCTCATTCCAGCTCCATACATGCTGCTGAGTATCACTGAAAGTTCAGCAAGCAATCTCTCTCTCTCTCTCTCTCTCTCTCTCTCTCTCTCTCTCTCTCTCTCTTTAATTGGACCTCAGGGCTGGGCAATGGTGGCTCACACCTTTAATCCCAGCACTCTGGAGGTACAGGCAGGCAGATCCCTATGAGTTCGAGACCAGCCTGGACCATTACATCCTTTCACTACATTCAAGGCTACACAGAGAAACCTTGTCTCCAAAAACCAAAAATAAAATAAAATAGGATCTCAAGTAGCCCATGCTGGCCTCAAACTCTTAATTCCTCTACCTCTACCTCCTGAGTGCTGGGATAACAGCTGTGCACCTCCAGGCCCAGCTTGGTGCCCTTTATCCAGCCACTTACATCTGAGGGTCAGCCAATCTCTCTGCCTCAGTTTACCTAGGCATGGTAATAGCAGCAACACATAGTACATTGCATTGTCAAAGGCTCAGGTGCCAGCCTGATTTTTTCTGGGGGTGACAAAGAATGGCTAGATGGATCCTTACTGGAGTCAGTAAAATTGAGGGACATGGAGGCTCTGCCCACCCAATGACAGGTGAGTGTGTGTGTGTGTTTGGGACAAGGTCTCACTCTGTAGACCAAGCTGGCTGGCTGGAACTCACAGAGATCCACCTGCCTCTTCCTCCTCAGTGCTGGGACTAAAGATGTGAGCCCAGCTCAGCCACTAATTTGATGATTGCTCCTCACAATGGGGAATACAGTCCCACCTGACCCCATCAATGCCTAAGCATCCATGAGAAGGAATTGCTGTCCTTGACAGTGGCCAGAGTATGGGTTTCAACTTGGAATCACACAGGGGGAATGCTCTCCTTCAACAATGGAGTCAGGACGCAGGGCCCAACCCCCTACTCTGTGGTCAGCTCCCTTCCCATGTCTTCCAGGAGCTACAGCCGAAGCTGTTGCAAAATCAACGTCCCAGCTCCAGGACAAGGCATGGGGCAAGGGTGTGTGTGTTTGAAACCCAACAGACACAGGCACATGGCCAAGGTGCCAAGACCCAACTCCAGCCAGGCTGGAGGCCTCTGTCCCTAGGACCCCTGTAGGGACAGCTGCTCTCTCTCTCCCATGCAAGCTGGTGACTGCCTGGCTGACTCAAATACACACTAACTGGACTCCCTTCCTTCACACAGTAAGTATCTACTGTATGCATACACCATCCCTTGTCATATGGCAAGGGGTACAGGGCAAACAATTGCCGATTAGAAGACCGTACTTCCCCACAGTTGTACTTATTGAGCACCATCTGTATACTATGCTCACCCATGCTGTGCAGGTTAAGTGTGCCTTTGGTTCATATTCCCAGTCTTCTGCTATGGAACTTCAGGCCCGAAGGAGCCCTCTGTAGCTCGGGTTCTTCCTCGACCCCATTTAGTGTCCCCAGGTCCCAAGATCCCCAGAGTGTACACACACACACACACACACACACACCAGTCTCCACACAAGGATGAGACATTGGGGACCTCTCCGCAGGGGTTGAAGGGATTGAAAAGAGGCTGGGGCTGGCTGGGGTTCAGTGGGCAGTGTGCTCTCCTGGAGCGCATCAAGCCTTGGAGTGGAGGTGCACATATGTCATCGCAGCACTCGAGACGTGGAAGCAGGAAGATCAGGAGCTCGCTCGAGGCCATCTTCAACTATATAGGGAGTTAGAGATTAGCCTGGGCTACATGAAACTGTCTCCCAAAACCAAAGCAATGTTGGAGGAGTAAACCTATGGACTTGGCACAGCGCCACCTGGCGGCACCAAAAGAAGTCAGAGAGCAGCCGCCTCCCACTTCTGAAGGCCCAGTGGCGACACCGCCTGTCTCGCCCTCCAAGGCTGGCTTGTGACCTCCTTCCCTTCTCTCTGTGCTGCCCCTTGCTCCCATATCTGCCCCTTGCTCTTCTGGGTGCCACTCCCCTTGGGTCCCTGGCCCCTGCTCCCGACTTTCCCACTGCCTTCCACCCTGCTTCCTCCACCAGGAAGTTCTCCTATCTGCTTTGACTGGAGCACAACCTCAGGCCCTGAGGCCTGTGAAAAGAGCCAGGTAGCTGGGCATTGGTGGCCACGCCTTTAATCCAGCACTTGGGAGGCAGAGGCAGGCAGATCTCTGTGAGTTCCAGGCCAGCCTGGTCTACAAGAGCTAATTCCAGGACAGCCTCCAAAGTCACAGAGAAACCCTATCCCTGTCTCAAAAAACAAAACAAAACAAAAAACAAACAAAAAAAAAAAAAAAAAAGAAAAGAAAGAAAGAAAGAAAAGAAAGCCAGGTCTTCAAGAAGCCTGGAGCTGGGGGAACACTTTACCAAACCCCACCAGGCACACCTCATCGAGCTCTGGGATGTGTCCAGGGTCCAGCTGGGGAAACTGAGGCACAGAGGTGAGAAGCAACGGGTACTGGATCCAACCCCTGTGGTTCGGGAGTGAGCCTGGCTTCCCTACACTTCTTTCTTTCCCACATAATGGATCCCTGGCCTCCGACACTGGCCACATCCCAGGTTCACACGGGATAAGACAGACAGGAGACAGCTTTTAAATATTTCTCAGATTTATTGAGGTCACATGGAATAGGGGACAGAGCTGGCTCCACTCCAGGGTGTGTGTGGGTGGTATAACAGGAGGAAAAGTCTGGAAAGGACCACTCCACTCCAGATTTTCCCCGCTAGAGCTTGCAAGCCGTCCCTGTGTCTGGCTGTCTGGAGTGCAGAACGGCAGCTCAAGACATAGCGCCCCGCAGCACCGTGTGAATCCAATCCACATACATGGACACCCGGGCAAAGAAATCGGGGAACTGAAGGGAGGCGCATTCCCGGATCACGAAAGAGTCGACTCCATGAAGAATGCCATCGCAGATCAAGGGGCCGCCGGAGTCTCCCTGAGGTACAAGAGGGATCAGTCTCCAGTCAGCCGGGTTGAGGAGACACGGGGAAGAGTCCCGGGGGATGACCAGGAGGTATTTAGTAGCTTCCTGTTGGATTTAGTCTGAGTGGGTCCAGAAGAGAGGAGCAGCACAAACCAAGTACAAAAGAGCCACTTTTCTATCGCAGGGGCCCAAGGCCGGTCCGGGGCTTGGGCTTGCGAGGGGTAGAGACCAGGAGTCAGAATGAGACAGGCAGAGGGCGGGGCCACATCCAGATCCCCATCTTTCTTTTTCATACCCACCGGTCCTCCAGACCCCGGCTGCTCAAAACCCTGTTCTCGCAAAAGCCCCGCCCTCCAGCTCACCCACCTGGGAACAATCAATGCCCTTCCACTAGCCCAGGCATCCCCATCTCCCTATCCGGGACATCCACATCCCCAGGGACTCATAGTCCTCTGGGATCCACCCATCCGCCTCCAGATAACCCCCTCCTCAGAACCCAGATCCCCACCCCCGACCGAGGCACCCCAACCGGATGCCGAACCGCAAGTTCCACCCGAGGTTCCGCCCCACAGACACCGCCCCTGCCCAAGGCCCCGCCCCCACCATAGGCCCGCCCCGTCCCACCTTAGACGCCACCACAGGCCACGCCCCATCAAGGCCACGCCTCCCACGACCCAGCCGTCACTCACGAAGCAAATGCCAGCTGCCCTCCGTGGTACCAGTGTGCACACGTTGTGTTCCCGGCACAGGAAGGTGACCACCGTGACGTTCAACTCCTGCAGCACTCGTGGCGTGGGCGCGCTGGTGCCCAGGCGGCCCCAGCCCATGGCCAGGCATTGGGTGCCCTGGGTCAGCGATTGGCCCTGCTGGGGCAGAGAGGCCACCGCCACCTTCTCGCCCAGGGAGGCTGGCCGGTTCAGCTGAAGAAAAGAAGATGTGAAGACCTGTCCCCACCCGCCACCCTGGGAACCTAACGTCTCTTTCCGGCCTTTACACTTAGAGAACAACTTCCAGCCGGACTGGCGAGATGGCTCAGTGGTTAAGAGCACTGGCTGCTCTTCCAGACATCCTGGGTTTAAATCCCAGAAACCACATGGTGGTTCACAGCCATCTGTAGAGGAATCTGATGCCTGTACTGGAATAAAGTAGTACATGCAGACAGAGAGCACTCATATACATAAAATAATAAAATCTTTAAAAAAAAAAAGCAAAAATCGAATACAGAGCTTCAAAACTTCGTTGGTGAACGGTCCCAGCTCTTCAGGCAAAACTTTCTGGAAAGAGCTGTTGATTTGAACACCATGATGCTGAGCGAAGGTATCAGGCGGGGAGGCTGAGTGTTGAGGCTGAGTGTTGTACAGCCTCCATTAACCCTATTCATGACCCAGACCCTAATTCAGGCTCAGTTTCCCTTCTAACGAAACCCTGATCATAACCCTAACCCTAATATTAGACCTAATCCTAGCCTTAGCCTTAACCCTAACCCCAGCCACCAAGACAGGAAACACAGACTGGCAGAAGCTGAAAGAGAGACCCCAGCCCCACAGGTCCTAACATAGCATAGGAGGTGCTTCCTCCGAGTCTTCTACAGGAATGAACCCCCAGCGCACCAACCTACCTTAACAAGCAGCACATCATTGAGATTCTCCTCGGGGTTGTAGTTGTTCTGGAAGACCTGCGTGATGGTAAATTTCTGCTGCTCAGGCTCCTGCCTTTGCAGGTCGTGGGCACCCAGCACCACCGTCACGAGCTGCCAAGGGCTGTGGAGCCAGGATTGTGGGATTTTGTCACAGGGACCCAGACCCTCTCACATGCTACCAAGTGCTTTACTCCTGACCCCGCCCCCAGCCCCTCATTGGGGATTCTAGGCTGGGGCTCCACCCTGACCACACCCCCCAGGCCCTCACTGGGAGATTCTAGGTGAAAGAGAAATGCATTGTTAGTGGTAGTCTCCTGGAAAAGAAACTGGGGCAGAGCCAAGGCAGGTATAGAGTGGATTGGCAGGGCACCCAGCCGGGGCTATGATGTCAGCTCAGTCCCGCAGCCCCCTCACTGTCGCCTGGATGCTGTATTCACATGTCCTGCAGGCAGTGGGCAGCAGTTAGCACGAAACTCGGGTGGATCAGAGTGCCACCACAGAAGTGGCTCCCAGGGGACCTGCTCAGCTGCAGGGACGCCATATAAGGCCGAGAATGGGGCTGAGCCTCGTGCCCACCCACAATCTGGGAGGCCTGAACTGCGCCTAGGGGAGAAAGGTGTCAGGACCACAGCCTGAAGGTTCTGGTTCTGGCTATGAATGCCTCAGTCTGTGCCTGGGGAGAGTTGGGGGACCTGGCTTGAATCTATGGCTATTATTTTGTTATTTTGAGATAGTTTATCACTCTGTAAACCAGGCTGATCTTGAACTCAGAAATCCAATCCTTCTGCTTTAGCCTTTGCTAGGATTAAACACATGTACCACTAAGCCCAGCTTCTGTAATTTTCTGGGTTCTGAAGCAAGGGTCTCTGAGTGGCATAGTCATAGAGACTTCTAAGAAAACCCGATCAAGGGGCTGAAGCTGGGCTGTGGCTCGGTGGGCAGAGTGCTTGCTCGGCATGCACAAAGCCATGGAATCAACCTATCTCCAGCACCATAGAAACCCTGCTTGTTACCCAAGGATCAGGAGTACAAAGTCATCATCAATTGACTATAAAGTGAGTTTAAGGCCAGTCTGGGCTACATGAGGGCCTGTTTGGGGGGGGGGAGGACAAACAAACCATAAAATAGAAGGAATACTGATTCAAAATGAATAGGCTTCTCCCTTTTCATCTTTTCTGTTCCAAGCATTTAGCCAAGGGGTGTCTTGGTCTTCCCAGCTGTGCCAGGAGGGTGCTGGTTGGTGAACAGGGCCCCACTCACCACCGAAGACCAAGGCAAGCAGGAGGAAGGGATGAACCCAGCTGAGGGATTGGTGGCTTCCAGCCATGGTCAGAGGCTCCTGGCCTGCTGCTTGCTGAGCCTCTCTTATAACCCAGGTCTATGGGAGCCGTTGAACAGTGGCTGAAGGCTGGGTTGGGTATCCCACTTCCTCCTTCCAGTTTGGGGGCCCAGGAGAGTTTGCAGTGAGGCAGGCAGGATGCAGAAGTCTCTCTGGAGACAGGGGGAACCAGCTGCCACCACACGCTACATGCTCAGGCTCCGACCGACCCACAGAGCCCTGTGACCTGATTGATTATGTCCCGCCTGGGTTTTCTCCTTAATGTGGTGGTGGTGGTGGTGGTGTGTGTGTTCATTTTAATCAAGGTCTCATGTATCTCAGGCTGGCCTTGAACTTCTGATCCTCCTGCGTGATGGGATGGCAAGTGTGTGCTTTCATACTGGGATAATTTCCTATTTTTTCTCTCGTTTTTTTTTCTTATTCTTTTTTAAACATTTTTTTCTGATTGTTTCTCTATACATAAATTTTTATTTACTTACTTACTATTTTGCACAGGCATATGTGTAGATACACACGCATATAGAGGCTTGAGGATGACACAAAATTTTTCCTCAGTGATTCTCCACCATATACACTGAGGCAGGGGCTCTCCCCATGGCTTCAGTTAGCCACTTCACTAGCTTGCTCGTTGTTGAGGGCTTGGGGGTGATCTCTGTCTTTACTGGCTCTCCTCTCATGAGCACTTTACCCACTGAGCTGTCTCTGAGCCCCCTCCCCTTCCCACCACCATCCTTTATTAAATCCCAGGCTAACCCAGAACTCACATCCATCCTCCTGTCTCTACTTTTCATGTACTGGGATTGCAAGGCAAATAAATTCATTTTTTATAAAATAGTCTAAACCCAAAGAATGCTGGGATATAGCTAATGGTGGGAAGGATGGAATGTTTGTCTGGTATGTGTGAGGACCTGGGTTCCATCCCAGAAGTATAAAAATTAATTCTTTCTTACATGCATTGTTCCCGTGTGTGTGTGTGTGTGTGTGTGTGTGTGTGTGTGTGTAAGAGGAGGTCTCTCAGAAGTCAATTCTCTCCACCCACCATGTGAGTCCCTAGTAGTGAACTGAGGTCCTTGGGTTTGGCGGCAAGCGCCTTTCCTTCCCCACTGAGCTACCTCAGCAGCCCATAAATAAAGAAGTGAATTAATTAAATTAAATTAAAAGAATGAACCACATGAAGAGTGCTTTTTTTTTTTTTTTCCCCTGGCAGACTGGTAAAAAGAAAAAGGGAAAAGAAGAGGTTGTGTGGTTTAGTGTTGAAATGAAGCCGGGGCTGGAAGAGGTCCAAGAGGTTCCGGGACTTGCCTCTCTGTTCTCAGACTTCTTACACAACACAACGGCTGGAATGACCCAGAGCTGGTTCAGAACAACAGCACCATGTGAAGTCTCCCTCATCCCAACCCTCATCCCACTTGGTCTCAGGACCCTGAGCCACCAGCATCTTCTGCCCTTCAGGAAGAATACCTGCTGCCCTCGTCTGGTGATGTCTGATGCCAGGCTCTGGAGCCACAATGCATCCTGTCCTGGTGAGAGCTGAGTGGACCTCTGAGATCTGTCTATTTTTTTCTCTGACTATTTTGAGACAGGGTCTCATGTACAGCAGGCTGGCCCACAACTCACAGATGTATGCTTGCCTCTGCCTCCTGAGTGCTATGGTTAGGACGTATGAACTTTGACCCTCCTGTTTCAGCCTCCTGGCTATTGGGATAGCTAGACTCTTCAACTAGGCCATATGTCCACCAGAGCCCATCTTTCCCATCTCCACATGGAAAGCCCACCCTGGAAGATCCAAAGTACCTCTCCCCACTCATCCCTTGAGACCACAGAGATTGCCACAGCTTCCTCCCAGGACTGTCAGTTAGGGGCCTTCTTTCAACACTAGAATTCCTAAGAGGTCACCCAAGCTCCTCCCTTACTGACAGGAAAACAGGCCCAGAGCTTGTCTAGGTGTCTCTGTCCCACTTTGGGCTTCTCTGCCTCTGGCCCCTGAAGCTGGAACATTTTCACAACCGTGTAGGACTTACCTGTGCCCTGTGGCCCAGGTACTGTGGCCAAGGGCTGCCCCTGGGGGATCGGTCCCTTTCCATGGACATTGGTGGATGGCGATGCCCTTGAGGCTGCATGGACCACTTTTACCATCTTCTCTGTCATTCGTTTGTTTCCCCTCTCTCTCTTCCTTTTTTTGAGACAGGGTTGGTTTCTCTGTGTATCCCTGGCTGCCCTGGAACTCACTCTATAGACTAGGCTGTCATCAAACCCATAGAGATCCGCCTACCTCTGCCTCCTGAGTGATGGGATTAAAGGCATGCACCACCTTGTCCGGCTCATTTGTTTGTCTTTTTTTGAAACAGCCCTGGCTGACCTGGAACTCTGTAGCCTAGGTTGGCCTCAAACTCAGATCTGCCTGCCTCTGCCTCTGTAATAGTGGGATCAAAAGTGTACATTCCTTCATTTGTTCCTTTGTTTGTTTTGGCTTTTTTTTTTTTCCAAGACAGTGTTTCTCTGTAGCTTTGGAGCCTGTCCTGGAACTCACTCTGTAGACCAGGCTGGCCTTAAACTCACAGAGATCCACCTGCCTCTGCCTCCCGAGTGCTGGGATCAAAGGCGTGCGCCACCACCGCCCTGCCTCATTTGGTTGTTTTTAAGGCAAACTCCAACTCTTCAGATCAGGTTAACCTGAGACTATGTAGCTCAGGCTAGCCTGAAACTCACAGCAACACTACCTTGCCTTCCTGGGTGTGGAAATGACAGGCTCGGACCACCACACAAAATATTTTTGGTTTGGTTTTGAGACAGGGTGTCACTCTGTGGCCCAGGCTATATTGGCACTCACAACAATTCTCCTGCCTCCCTCATCTGCCCAAGAGCAGTATACCGGCAAGGCAGGAGCATTTCTGTGTGTGGCCATCAGGCCTGGGGCGCTCCATATTCACGTGGAAACGGAAAACGTGGGTTGAGGTTGAGTCTGAAAAAGCATGAGTCAGTTTGGGAAAAACATTGTGACTGACAGGAGTAACACTGGGGAGTGCAGGTGCCGGTAGAGCAGGGAGGACTTGGTGGGAGCAAAGCAGGGTGCACGTGCTCGGTGACTGCAGCCCTCTGTGCAGCGGCGTTCAGATGGACCTTGCATTTATTTCCCTTTTCTTATTTTTTTACATGTGTGCCTGTGGGGTGCCTGTATGCTCCTGTGCACTATGAGCTGTGCACTTTGGTTTTGTTTTTTGAAACAGGGTCTCACTATGTAGCCCTGGCTGGTCTGGAACTCATGGAATCTCTCTACCTCTGTCTCCCAAGTGGCTGGGATTACAGATGTACACAGCCACCCCCAGTCTCTCCTCGGCTTGTACTTGCCTACTAGGTGAGGATCAGGGATCATCCACTCATCCTCTACCCAAGGCTGGGGTAAGATATGACACTATGGCTGGCTTTTTATGTGGGTTCTGGACATTCGAACTCAGGTCCTTATGCTTGTAGCATGCACTTTACAGACGGAGCCATCTCCCCAGCCTCCTTTTTTTTTAAAAAAAAAAAAAAATTATTATTTTAAGACAAGGTCTTACTGTGTAGCCCAGGGGTCTCAAGTGTCTGTCAAGGGCCTGATGTATATAGTAAGCATTAAGTAAGCAGCTTACTCATTATACTGATGGAATGATTTCCTAAGTCCTCTGTGCCCATCTGGGATAGGGTGGGGTCAACCAGTGGCGATCTTACAGGGCTGCCTCTGTAGAGCGGAACCGGTTGCAAACAGCAAGCGCTATGTATGTGTACATTATAATCATTTATCCTCAAGGCACCAGCTGTACAGGGTCAGGAGGGTGAGGCGGGCCTCGAGGTTGGACGAGGGCAGCCCCTTCACCCTGGTGTCATTGTCTCTTTTCGCTCAGGCACCCAGGGACCTCACCATGGAAACGGACTCCAGCGAGCCGCAGGCCCGAAGATGTGGGGGCCCGAGGACTCGGAGACCGTGAGACGCAGGGAGACGATTGGGGGCCGCGGGACTTCGCCTTCCTCACACTCCGCGCGCCCCTGGGTCCCCGAGACCACAGAGAGTGCGTACAAGGGGCGGGCAGGGACCCGGATTGCGATCCGGGGAGGACCCTGAGACCCTGAGACCCGCAGAGCCGGAGGCGGAGGCGCCCGAGCCGGGGGCGGGGCCGGGGCGGAGCCCGAGAGGGCTGCAGAGCGCTCAGACAAAGAGCCCGCGCGCCTCTCCGGGCCTCGCGTCCCTCCCACGCGGGGCCCTGGCTTTGTGTCCGTGCTTTGCAGCCGACTCCACCCTCCCTGCCCGAGCCAGGTGAGCGAGCCGGGAGCACGCGCGGGGGCTGCAGCACCCCCCCTCCCCCACATACCCCTCTTCCTCTCCAGCCTCAGTTTCCCCGGGCCACTTGTCTAACCCTTGTCTTCCCACCTGGGAGTCCATCTGCACACCTTCTGGTCTCCAGCGCTCCTTTTGTCCCCCTGAAACCTCGGCCTACAGCGCCCGTGTCACCATGATTGCTGTGAAGGAGAAGAATAAAACGCCGAAGGACAGCATGACGCTCTTACCTTGCTTTTATTTCGTGGAGGTGAGTGAGGGGGGCACGGAGACAGGTCTTCGTGGCGTGGAGCTTCTGAGACCGTCCCCTCCACGCTACGGGGACAGGAGCCTGCACCGCGGAACCTGGGCACCTGGAGCTGGGATGGGGATAAGGCTGGGTCCAAGGACCAGGGCTCTGCAGGTCGAGTAGGAGTACCAGAGACTCAGAAGGGTTCTTTAGGCTGGGAGCAGATCAGGGAAAATGCTAGGATAGTGGGCTTTCTTTTAAGGACATGGGTGAAAAGGGGTGCATGGTGGTGAACAAGCCCCAACTGGTGAGGGTGGATCTGGACACTTGGTCCTACAGCACCTTGGGTGCATCTAAACCCTCTTCTGCTATGATTGTGTGGCTCTGTGCTCCCCCACCCCCACCTCCAGGCCACAGCTCCCCAAGGCTAGTCAGTTGTGGTGGAAAACTGAGGGGGGTCTAAAAATAGAAGACGATAAATGCATTCACAAGGTGCATACTAATTGTGGAGGATGGCGTTTTTCTCTGAATGACAGGATTCTGGTGGGGGACAGAGTGTGAGCTAGGCAAGGTTCCACAAGCCCTGTGTCCCCAAAGGGGATCCTTTCCCAGCAGGTGACCCTGTTTGGGCCTCAGAGCAATTGGGGGAATGCTTAAGTCTCAAGATGGCATTTAAGTGTGACAATAGATTAGCCCAGTCCAAAGCTTTGCCCAGCCCCTCACTGGGCAAATCCTTCCAGAAATTGATTACAGCTATTTTTTTCTTGCTCATTTAAAATTATTTTTTAATGTATTTAGTGCTGCCAATAGAATCCAAGGTCTGGATCTTATCAGACCTGGGTTCCACCCTGACCACGCCCCCAGCCCCTCACTGGGGAGTCTAGGTGGGACTCCACCCTGACCATACCCCAGCCCCTCATTGGGGGGGTTCAAGCAGGGCTCCACCTTGACCACGACCCCAGCCCCTCACTGGGGGATTCTGGGTAGGGGCTCCACCCCTAAGCCAGGACCTCAGCCTCAATCTGGTTGTCTGGGTTTAGGAGCTCACATCCATCCACAGAGTGTAGGATGGACAGCAGGTGTCTTCCTCCATTTCTCCATTCCCTGGGCTGGAAGCTTACTGGGGTCCCTGTGGCCTCACCCTGCTATACCTGACTTACAGGCACACCCAACTATGCCCACCTTGCTGTGTGGTGCTGGGGACTTGAACCTGGATCCTGGCAACTATAAGTGTTCTTCCCCTAAGGAGGATTTCCTCTAATTTTATTATTATTATAAGGCTTTCCTCTTCAACATAAGATCTTTTAAAATAAGGTTTTTGAATATTTGTTTAGTGTGTGTACGCGCGTGCGCACGCACGCGCGACAGAGAGCCACGCGTGTTTCTGTGCATGTGCACAATGTGGCTAGAGCATGGCGGTCAGAGGACAACTTTCGGGAGTCGATTCTTCATTTCTACCATGTGGATCCAGGGATTTTGATGACACTCAGTTATGCTTAGCAGCAAGTACCTTTACATGCTGAGCCATCTTGCTCGCCTTATATGAGGTGTTTTGTACAGGGAGAACTTGACTTAGCAAAGCACACAAGGTACCCTGACCCTTCTCCCTGCTGTGTAGTACTCCATCCCCACACCAGGACACTTCCTTGTTTCTGAACCTACATTATCTCATAGACCTGGATGAGCCTGCATTGTTTCCCCCAATGGAGGGGGCAGGCTGAGGACTCCTAGAAGAATGGATACTGGGAAAGGGATAGCTTGTTTCATTTCTTTTGAGGCTGGTTCTCTTTAAGTAGCCCAGGTTGATCCAGAGCTCAGAGTCACAGCCTCCTAAATGCTAGGGTGACAGGCATGTGTCACCATTCCAGGCAGAGGGAAGTGCAGAATTTCACACACCCTGCTGTGTTTGCCCACATTGGCACCAACACCCTATGTGAGCAGCAGATCTTAACCAAAGCGTGGGCCTAAGGCTGTCTTCACTCAGCTGTTGCTTCGTGTTAAGTACAAATGCTTGTGTCCCTTTCTTGGGATTGTGGCTGCAAATGGAAATCTTGCAAATGGAAAACCCCATGTGGAAAAAAGCACTTAGGGGCTGAGGGGGCAGCAGTGCTAAAGGCTGCTGCTGGAAAGCCTGACCACCTGAGTTCTATCCCTGGGGCTGGCACAATGCAAAACTGAGATGATTCCCACAGCGGCCCTGACTTCCTCACCCAGGGTGATGGTGGCACATGCCTTTAATCCCAGCACTAACAGAGAGATCCTGTATCAGAAAGAAACAGGGGAAGGGGTTGTGGGAGAGGGCAAGGGGATTTATTACCTCACCTGACACAGGCTGGCCACAGCCCAGTGGAGTATCACCTGTATGAGGTGTTTTAAAATTGTGGGGCACACTCTTCCTGTGACCCACTGAACACTGAAATTCAGACAGTGCAAAATGGAACAGTCCTGCATGTGTATTCAGCATCATTATATACTGAGTATATAGCAGGCTTTCTTTTCAGCCACCAACCAGCTCCCAAATGACGACACGGTGGAGACGCATATTAATCACGAATGCTTGGCCTTATGTTATGCTTGTTCCACTAGGTTTTTTGTTTGTCTGTTTGTTCGTTTTTTTTGAGACAGGCTTTCTCTGTAGCTTTGAGCTTTGGAGCCTGTCCTGGAACTCACTCTGTAGACCAGGCTGACCTCAACCTTACATAGATCTGCCTGTTTCTTTCTGCCTCCCACTAGCTCTTAGAACGTAATCTAACCTTTTTCTCTTCATCTGTGTTGCTGTGGGGCTTCTTACCTTTCTTTCCTTCTGTATGACCTACTCCATGTCTGTCTGTCTGGCCCCAGGCATCCCCCTTTCTTTCCCTCTCATCCTCTCTCTCCCCTTCACTCTCCTCCTGTTTATCCTCTCTGCCTGCTAGCTCCACCTATCTCTCTCTACTGTCTAGTTATTTGCTGTTCATCTTTTTATTAGACCAATCAGGTACCTTAGGCAGGTCAGGTGAAGCAGCAACACATCTTTATATCGGTAAGCAAATGCAGAATAAACAAATGTAACACATCGTTAACCTGAGCCAACGTGGTCTCAGTTAGCTCAGACTGGCCTCAGATTTTCTATGTAGCTGAAGCTAGCCTCGAACTCCTGATCCTTCTGCTCAGTGCTGGGACTTCCTGCATGCCAGACTAGCACTTTACCACTGAGCCCCAGCTCCAATATCTATTAATTTACTGAATTAGGGTTTGAGTATATAGCCCTGACTTTGCCTCTGTCTTCCAGGTGCTGGGACTAAAGGTATGCACCACCACCCTGTCCTGATTAAGTAATCTTTATGTTTATAGCTGTTCACCATGAGCCCTACACACATGCAGAAGCCTGTGGAGGCTAGAAGAGGACATAGAAACCCCTGGGATTAGATTTACAGAAGGCTGTGGGTGCTGGGAATTGAACCCGGACCCTCTGGAAGAGCAGGGAACACTCTTAACTGTTGTAATTTCTCTCTCTCTCTCTCTCTCTCTCTCTCTCTCTCTCTCACACACACACACACACACACACACACACACACACACACGAGTTGTTTTTTGAGACAGGGTTTCCCCTGCGTATCAGCCCTAACTGTCCTGAAACTTGCTTCATAGACCAGGCTGAACTTGAACTCACAGAGAACCACCTGCCTGTGTCTTCTGAGAGCTGGAATGCACCACCACAGCTCAGTCCTATGAATTCCTTTTTCACTGCTAGGGAAACTGAGGCATACAACTGACCCCAGGCAGTTGCTACCCATTTCATTCATGTTCTTCAGACTTCTTGTACAATAGGAAATCAATACATGCTCCTTAACCCGAGGGTGACTGCCCATACTCAGCACTCAGGAGGTGGTGGCAAGAGGGCCAGATTACCATCCTCAGCCACATCATGAGTTTGAGGCCAGCTTGGGACATGAGATGCTTTATAAATGAGTAAATAAATTGAATGCTCCTTTGACATTAATGAAGCTTCCTCAATCTACTTTTCCAGGTCCCTTCAGTGACAGTTATTTCCCTGTCTGTGCCCCAAGGACCCTGCTTTCAGGAGCCATGGCTCCTTACTCTTTGGAAGGGAGCAGTGGCATGGGCATCATAGCCCAGGTGGTGGGGACATAAGCCTGGTTGGTACAGAGGACTCAGGCATGAGTGAGGGAAGGGCCTTAGCATCAGCCACACACTGGGTGCCATTTGAGGCTGCATAGTGGATGGGTAATGGAAGATGGGGTAGGGAAATGCCACTGGGGAAGCTGCTCCAAGGAAGGTTGGCAAACAGAGCTGACTAAGTAAGCCTGGTTAAGGAACACTGGAAAGGAGAGGGCTAGGAGCAGAAACCAAAGGGGGCTGTAGAGAGAATTAGAAATATATGCATTGTATATGTAGGATGAATGGATGGATAGAAAAGATGAGTCAGTCAACAATGGATTGATGAGTGCTTGGGTGGGTGGATGGGCGAGTGGATGGTTGAGTGGATGGATAGGTGGGTGGTTGGTTGGGTGGATGGGTGGGTGGGTAGAAGATGGATCTGAATGTTGAGGAAGCCCTTGTGTGGCTGAACCATTTCGTGGGTGTGGAATGGCTCTTCCCTCTTACTGTGTTGCTGGGCTGCAGAAATGAGTGTGTGAATCTGTCATGCTAAGGCTATTGTGGGATAGTCAGTGACCCAGACCATCATCTGTCCCCCACAAGCTGCCTATTGTGGCTTCTTCCATTGTATCCTTATACTTCCTGGAGCTGACTGACCTATTCAAGCCGGCCAAAGTGGGCTTCCAGTGCTATGACCGCTCGCTGTCCATGCCCTACGTGGAGACCAATGAGGAACTGATCCCACTGCTTATGCTCCTGAGTCTGGCCTTCGCGGCACCTGCAGCCTCTGTGAGTAGCCTGTGCCAGGGTCCCAGGTGCTTGGGTCCCTCACTATGACCCCACCTGACCGCTTGTCCTGGGGGGGGAGCAGATCATGGTCGGCGAA